AAGATGATGTCTATCACTGTTCACTAAAACAACCTTCATGCAGCCATTAATACCAAGGCAACAAGCCCATACTGACGTTTGAGATGCTTCAAAACCTCTGCTACAGTAAAGATCTGACATCAGATGGTTCACTGAATGGTRAAAGCAGGATTTATTTGCGAGAACATCATTAATGTGCAACTTCAGGATGATGTCTCCACCTAGTGGTCAGTCTGTGGAGCAACATCATCCTGTGCCTCCAGTTCAGTTGAAGAAATTCTTACAAAAAGAGGGAATAGAACCTTCCACTCAAATAGTAAATGACAATGTTTTATTAGGAACACAAATATAYATAAACGTTTACACAGTTAAAACCATTCGTTCACACACAGTAAAATGTAACGTGCGTTTGTGCCATTGCTGTGTTTCACAARTACATGAAGCAGATTTAGACATTTTCTTAAACATAATGRTTACTTAACTAATGGTCAGCTCTCAGAGAGTAAGTTACAGCTTTACAGCAGCAATAACACRTTTATTTGACGTGACCTGTTCAATGTGAAGTACGGTATAAGACATATTTGCAGTGGTGTGGTCCAAGCTGGTCAGTGACCCTTCAGCAGGCAGGGTGTCCCTCTCAGGCCTTTCCCCCGTCCACATCACTTGCTGAACCCAACCAAGCAGCAGATCCAGCAGCTTTCACTCACTCTTTACAGACTGTCTGGGAGGAGGCAGGGGAAAAAAAAAACAATTATAGTCAAATACACGCATACCTTAAACATTTAGTCCTTTAGCTGTGCTGATCACAAGAAAGGGAATCTGTAAGGTGTGGTTACCAAAAGTGAYGAATCAATGCACAATAAGGACCTTTCACATGCCTTGCTACATTGTAAACAACTTGGTGGWATAGTCATGCTAACTTGATGTGTTTCTGTAGTGCGTATAGAGCAGGACTAGCCATTCTCAAACCTTGAAGGCCACTGCATGCTTTATAACATGTGTCAAACTCACGGTCCACAGGCCAAAGCTGGCCCCCGTTAACATTTTATATGGCCCCAAAGGTAATACTTCCAATGTGAAATAGTTTTMAGTTTTTTATTTATTTTTGTCACTGGATTTAGTGCATTCTCTTCATGACAGCTGGTCAGGCCAACGAGATAAAGCTAGAATTTTTAAGTATTTTTTTATTTTTAAGTGGAAAGAGCACTAGAGCATTGACTTTAATAGTATTTAGCTGTTTTCTTTTTTTTCAAGTCAAATAATTGGACATTGGAGTTGTCTTTTTAACCTGATTTACTGGATTGTGACCAAATGTACCTCTAAGATATAATAAATAAAAAAGTAGAGAGTAAAGCATAAGAAGTGAATGCTTAAGATGTGTTTTTCTAAGGGTAATCATTTTTCTTTTTCCAATAGTTCATTTATGTTCTAAAGCATACATAAAAACTGAAAATTGTTTGATATATAACATTTTTTTGGCGGGGTATTATGTTACAACATCATCAAAAACATTCCCATAGTGTTGCTTTGCCTCATTTATGCACGTTTGAGAAATCCTTGAATCTCCTATGGTGGCCACATGGAGCTGCCCCAACCTGGAGCTCAGTCTGCTGCTGAGCTTCCACCCCACAGAGTACCCTTCCCCTGAAGCATTGGTGGGAGGACATGCTGAAGTGGGAGTGTTGGAAACGGTAGGAGGTTCTTAAAGAGACAGAGGCTAATTTCAAGGCATTGAGATTTTGGATGCTCTGATGAAAAGTAAAATTTATTTTTAATTTATAGCATGTTGAGGGCACAAGACAGCATCTCAGGGGGCAGAAAAAAGCAACATAAAAAATACGGAATTCTACTGGTAGTGATGGGCAAGYAAAGCTTTTCTAAAGCACTAGCTTTTCAACAGTTTTCTTTGGCGCCATCTTGTGGCCAAAATTATAACTCTCAGCTTGAAAAAAATACAAAATGAACTGCTTGACTGAATAAATCATTTTAATGAATAAAAGTGTGCCATGGCATGATGCCCYCTGTACACTTGATATTTGTAAACACAGAGTATTAAAAAAATGTAAATTATTTACAACACAGTTTAGATAAACATTTAGAAACTTCAGAAAGTGTCACGTTTTTTTGTTTCTCTGCCATCGGCACATCTGCAGCTCATAGGCAATCTTGAGCTTGAAGGAGGGTAGGAGCTGTGCTGGGAAAGGGCGTGAGCAGCACGTACACAAGCGTGATTGACACTGATTAGACAATCCCCCTGATTCTGATTGGCTGTTTCTGACCAGGTGTATTACTGCCAGTGGCTGTAGGACCACTGGCACTGGGAAGAGCTTTTTATCTTTTCTGTCTCATATTCTGTCAGGATTTAGTGACAGTTTAAACAAATATGTAAAAAAAAAACTTTTTATAAAAGTTAACTACTCCAGCCATAACCACAAAAATGCTAAACATCACAATCATTATTTTGTGATAAAAAACAAAAACAATTCAAAAAACTTTACTGATAACTGGGGTGGCATTTAGAAAAATGTGCGACTTTATATGGAAAGAATGGAAAAYGGTGCTGTTTGGGATACCTTTGTTGGGGACAAATTTGAGCGAGTGGCTGAATATTCAAAACCGTGACGTTCCTTCCTCCGGACCATCGTTGGTTGGAATCGCACATCATAAAATTAGTTGTCTTATACTGTTAATGAGACATGTCATACTAACATGGAAACACAAAATATTAGAAAAATGGATAAAACAGAGCAGGTAAATATAGCCTAATTTTATATCTAGACCTATATATGTAAGTGAATATTAATACTTTATAAAAGTTGTAAGATAATTGAATTTGTTTATTTAATCAGGACAGTGTGCAATTAAAACATAAACATAAAAACATTTGATGCATTGCACCAGATTCAGTCTAAGGCTAATTTACATCCGTAGTCCCTCCAGACCAGAGGAGCCCCAAGTGGGGTCCGTGGGCCAAATTTGGCCCGCCAAGCCATTTGATTTGGCCCACCAACAGTTGCCAAAGTTACAAGGTTGTAAGCTGTTATCCTATAGGTAACAACACAGTGTTTCCATTGGTCAAATGACTATATAAAAGGGCTGTAGTGAAGGTAGTTTTCAGTCATGGTGCTGACTTTATCTTTGATTTATTAGGATTAAACATGAAACGACAACAAGACATATTTAGATCAGATTTAACCCCGCATGTAGAGTTGCACACTTTATAATGGTGCGTTCACACCGAACGCGATTTCAGCGTCAAAATCGCAGCCAACGCTGAAGTTTGAAGCTTGTGCACTTT